AGCCGAAACATTCCAGTATATACAGGATTTGTATGATAAACTGAATATACAATTGTATGCACATGTCAATAGAAGTTTATTTAATTACAACAATTTACCAAATTACACCACCGCAGATATGGCAGAAACTTTGGAGTACTCCAAGTGTCAATGTAAAGTAATCGAAGAATTGCTTGAAGCATCACGTGGAGCGTATTGCAGTATACTCGACATCAAATAAATTAACACCCACATAGTTAATTGTTTAACAATCCTAAAGAGTTATGAACAGTAACATGATGGATTTAACCAACTGTATTATATATTAAAACAATTGAGATGTCCACTTCCAGAAGAATGTGTTGTTTTGAATCCAATAAAAAAGTTGTTCCTCAAACACAACAAAGTCCTGAAATACAAGTCAACAATGATGATACTATTGATATTATTAACTCTGTAAAAAGAGTTGATGAAGTTGACGAAGACAAAAATGACCACACACAGGGACACGAAGAATCTTCATTATCAATGGAGGAAATTGACCGGTACTATAACAGAGACATTCATATTGAACCTTGTTTATCAGATACCGAATTTGATTGTGATAAACTAATGGATTATCTTGAAAAAATCAACAGAGTAGACCTTTATGATTATGTGCTCGACACATTAACCAGATTTTTCAAACTTGGAAGAAACAAAGCTGCTTAGAATAGACGAATTCAGTTGTTTAGATGTAAAGAATACACGACAAAGAAATTAAGAATTAAAAATAACAAATTTTATTAAAGTTTGACAACAAATTTGTCAAAAAAAAGTGTGGAAGAAACAAATTAAATTGGTAAAAGAGCAGCGAGGCAAGTCAGGTAAAGGGTCATTGTTTAGTAAGTTCGAATCGACATTGATTCTTGAGTTTGTTAAACAAAGAGAAAAGAGTAACGATCCTGCGACTAATAACGATATGATGTCGTTTATAATCATCAATTTCGATCGCGAAGACATCAAAACAAAAAGTCTCTATGGTTTCGTCGCAAAAGAAAAAAGAATACAAACTGCAAAAGGTCAAATAATAGAAGAAGGAAGAGTTACCATGAACATGTAACAAATTAATTGTTATTTTGTAATACTAGATAATAAAATTAGTGGTATTCCGACCGCCTTTATATTTAATTGTGATGAGTCGGGGTTCCAAAAATGGGTGGATCAAACGGATCACATTGTGATAATATCCACCAGAGACGGTACATCCAATGTGAACGTGCCTATTTACAGGGAGGGAAAAAGACAAACAATGTTGGGTACTATTTGTATGGACGGTTCATCACTTTCGCTATTATTCATTGTTCCTACTTTGTCTGTGGAAAAAAATTATTAGTGAATGGAATAACAAAATATAGAGTTTGTCTGAAGTATGCAAGAAAGTCGTTCATTTCAAAAGTTTTGTTTAATGAGTGACTTCAATGTGTATTTATACCATCAATTGAAGATAAAACAAAATAATAAAATTATCATGGTAAAGTAGCACTCATAATGGATGGTTATGGATCACACGTGATTGTATCTGCAATTAAAATTTTGACAGACAACAAAGTTAGCGTTTTTTTTTCACATCATCACTTTTCACACCTACTACAGATGTTAGATGTTGGCATCTTTGGTAGCCAAAAACGCTTGTGCTCAACAGATTGCACCGTTTCTGAAGAAGATTATTCGGAATTGTCATACAATGCAATTCAGATTTTAACAATCGTGAATGCATGGGAAAAAGTCATAACTTCGAAGAATATTATTTCTTCTTTTATTGCATGTGGACTTGTACCAAAATTGACAAAAGAGTTGAGCGTTGTATGTAAAGTGATAAAAAAAGTTGCCGGAAGATCGAGTATTATGTTAGTGAAGAAGCAATCATATTGTATATGACATCTTTAGAACCCATATTATAGGATGAATTGCTAATAAAAAAGCATTAAAAAGATCAGACGAGAGTCGAGATTTATTGAAAATTCATAACTGACAATTTAGCATCATATAAAGATATATTGTCATAGTCGGGTCAAGTTATCACAATTATAAATTGTTTTTTTTATATTTTTTTATGAAAACAATTGTAAATTATTGAAAAATACAATAATATTTTTTTATATATTATGCTCGTTAATTAAAATTATATTAACTATAATTTAACAATCGTTAATAATAATTTATAACAAGGGTAAAAATTTAAATGGGTTTAGCGAACACAAAAACATAAGACTTTATGTGTTTGAAAATTAATGTATAATAACAAGGAGATAAAAAGCAACTAACACATAGAATTGGTGTCATAACCACACTTAAATGTTGTCAACAGTCTTTAATACAATGGTATGCTATACACACCCGAAACATGTAAATTTGGTTTTACTATCCAATTCACAATTCTATATATGTTCTTTGTAACACATTCTCGCCTTTAAAGTTCTTTCTAATCAAACGCGACCTTTTGCGATGGTTATCTGAAAACGTTTCTGTTCAGAAAAATAACAATGATCTTGAAATTTATTGTTTATTTGTTTTAATTTGTTATTGAGTTTGAAAAATAAACAAAAAATAAAAATAAAAAAAGAAAAAAATGTTGCATGGTGGTTTTAAAATTATTTTGTATTCATTTCGAATAAAATAGAAAATGCATCGAAAAAATCGAAGGGGACAACGTTTGGAAAAAGGACAACGTTATTTGAACGACTCTAATATTTTAATAGTATTTTAATTATATCAATGGTTATATAAAAATCATCATAAATTTGTGTGTTTTTAATAATCAGCTAAAGTTAAAAATGAATCAATAGTAATAATTGTTATAATTAAACCATTATTAATGGTTTCTAATTTTGACGATGTTTTATAGTTTTGTTATTATTTAAATGTATTTTCAGGGTTTAAGACAAAAGACAACCTGTTCGCAACTTGATAAATATTTTAAGTGTGTTTAAATGTGTGGGTAAGTATTAGCTTTATGGTTTGTTTGTTTATTTTTTATTATCAACGCAGTTATTTAAAATGTTATATTGACGTTCAGATTGGTTAATGCAGCTCATTATTACACTTTGGTTTGTGTTTTTCATACGCGGGCCGGTCGTAAAGGCCGTGAAACACAACCAAAAGTATCGTAAATCATTTTTATGTCGAGTGTTGTTTGAATAATAACAAAATAATGATAAATTTATTATAAACATGAATAATTTAATGTATTGTAAATAATTAATATTGTTATAATTTCTTGTGTTGAAAATTATAATAAATTTTATAATTTTGTAACTATAATATTAACTATATTTTCCTTTTTCAAAAATCGTGACTGTGTTGGAAATAGTGGTTTTTGTCCAGATTTACTTGTTATTTGTTGTAGTTATATTGATTTAAATGGCTTAAATTCAATGTTTTACATGTTAGTTAGTTTTAGCCAATAAATTGGAAATAAATTAACCATAATTAATATATTCGCTTTTAAATTAATACCTTTATTTTCACCCCTGTAAACTATTGATTCAAGTATTAAAGCTTATTTATAATGGAAATAAAAAACACAAAAAAATCAACAAACGATCAAAAAAACACAAAATCAAGAGTAAAATTATTTTATGTTTTATGACACTTTTAATATTATCTTTATAAAAATATATTCATTTTCCATCAAAAATAATACATTATAATCACTTAGTCTTATACACAACTTTGCCTTATGCAAGTTTTATATTGTTAAATTTAGAATTAAATATACTATTACAGTAGTGGAATAAACCCACTTAAGTGAGTAAATTTTGTGAAACTTTGGTTGAACTTTAAGCCAAAATAGAAAAAACTTAAGTACCACCCTTTATAAATAGGAAAATGGGTTTGATTGGGTATTTTCTTTGTTTTTTGAGAAAAAAGTCAATTTTGCTCGAGAAGAAAAAAATATTTGAAATGGTTTTTTATTTTAATTAAAATAAACTTGAAATATAGCTTTTGTTTTTTACAAAAATCGTTTTGAGAAGTATTTTCTTTTGACAAAAATAAGCTCAAAAAAGGTTCAAAAAGTGAAAAAAGAACAAT